CCTTTACAAGTTACTTCTCTAGAAAAAACGCTAACCCTTCTCCTCCACAGTGCCACTGCCCCTTTAACAGCTCACGACCAGGCGTTTCCAGCTGCAATTACCCTGATTGGTCCAACTTCCACCACCAGGCTCAGTGTTTTAAATGTGACCGAACGAGACTTAAATAAAGCTCTGATCACATGGAGTAAAAACACAGCGGTCGTATGCTGAGCTGCACAATGAAATCATGAGAAGGCCTGGCAGGGCTCCGACGTGGCTGGATACCCGCAGGGCTTCCCAACGGACTCCGGGGCTGTTGTGCTTTAGTTGAGGCCGTTGTCCTGTTTACTGCTGCTAGTTGCGTGTCTAAAGGACACACACACACACACACACACACACCCTGATGTGTTCTGATGGGCTTCAGGGTGATTTAACATCTTTAAAAGCCTTCGGCGATCTGCCGGTTTGTTTGTGCGTGCGAGCGAATGCGTTTGTATCTGTGTTTTTTTGTTGTTGTTGCTGTGAGCACACATGCACAACACACGCGTGTGTTTCATCAGACGACAACTCCAACGGCAACTTTCACAATTCCCCAAGACCTCGCTGAGTCTCAGAGCCGTCCCATTTATCTAATCTTGCAGCCCCCCCCCCCATGTGCAGGTACCACTCGCAGCCAGCTGGCTCGTGGACAAATCCCAAAATGTCTGTGAGGCTGAACCACTTATTTGGGTCGGTTCGGGTGAAATGGAGTTGCTCAAATGTTGAACTTTCAATGATCTACTGTGCTGATTTTTAGCCTTTTGTGTGTTTTAAAAATACTTGTTTTCCCCGAGAATCTGTTGGCAAGCCTTCTGTATCTGGTGTATTTGTTACAGTATCTGTGATGCACAACTCCCTCTGAGCGTGCTTTACACTCCCAAACCAGATCGCCGTGAGCTGAATAATTCAATGTTGAAGAAGGAAACGTTAAAGAGACATTTCTCACGATAACAATGAAATTGCAAACAGTTGCATCACGGCACAACACTGTTTTACTAACCGTACAATGCAACAATATCTATGTCTGCAGAATGTGTGTCCATGCAGGAGTGCTTCAGAGCCGCTGTTCCCCCTCAGAACTTTCAGCAGTTCCTCCAACAACATTTTTCAACACATTATGTTTTGAAGAACGCCAAATAAGTGTTTTTAGAAATTTAGAAATGAGTAATTAGCAGATGGTTGAATCCCATATTGAAACGTTTGCCAGGGTTTAAAAAAAACAACCTTCACAAAGGCCTTGCGGAATACACGATGAACTCAAAAGCATAAAAACTTGTTCACTAAGCGTTTTCCATGGCAGCTGCTTTTTTTTAGGTCAGCCTTTCGTATGCTCGCTTGGCTTGTGAGAATTAATGCTACGAAAAAAACTGCCAAAGGTAGAAATCGCGGCGTAGGTGGAGAAAGTGAACGTTAATGCATTTAAGCACTTACTAAAACCACCAAAATGTGTGCAAGCAATCACATACGGTGATTCCGCGTCATGCTTGGATCGTCATTAATCTCAGAATAATTCAGCATTTACACCTAATGACATGAAATTGAAACGTTTCCTGCAGGACTTCTGCATTGCGGGTTTGTGTCATAAGAGAAGAGATGATGCAACAAAGGGCAGAGGAAAGTGCTCACAGTAGATTTTGGGGGAGCGACAGTAATGAGCCGTGTCTTTCTTAGTATTAAGAGTGACAAGCTTACCCTGTCAGCCGAAATCTAAGCAGGAAGTTCTCACTTCATAATTTATTTTTCCAATTTCTGGTTGGACAAAAGGCCCGTGTCCCTGGCGTGTTTATCATCCAGGGTTAAGCGAGAGACAGAGGCCGCTGCTACCGAGCGAAATGTACTTACTGTGAATAATAATGCCTGCAGGTGAGACAGAGGAAAGGATGGTCTGTTCCAAATCTCTTCTGCAGCCGTCAGACATTCACAACGTTACTGCAATCCATCGTGAATTGACACTGCGCGTTTAGCTTCTTACACGCCGGTACGGCGTTCCTCTGTTTTGTGAGATTAATGTGGATGCTGCCGCTGAGATAAAGACCGAGGCGGATTATCACATAAAGTGCAGCCTTTCTTTTGCATCTAACATCGTATGCAACGTCAGAATTTTCTCCCCCCCTCCCATGTGCAGATGGTTCGGGATTGCCTGTAATTGCCCACTCGTTCAACTAATCAAATGACTCAGCTTTGATTTCATGAAAATAAGATTTTATTGTACCTATTTTTGTCAATGCATTTGATCATTTCAAGATCACGCCATTTATTCACACTTGTATTTATATCAAAACGTCTTTATCTGATTTCTTTGGAACATTTGGTGAGTCAACATACAACACCGTGGTTATATTACCAAATATTAACCCTATACTCATCTTTTACCATCAAATCAATATCCAATTAGTTTCATTTTGAACATTTTGAATGCATTTATCTAACCAGGTTGGTACGATTTTAGCAAGCGAGAGGCCTTGTATTGTAGGTGTGGCTTTAGCTTCTCTAAGCTTTCTCTCTCTTTTCTGTCAAACTGTCACACACACCCACACAATCCAATTTCATCGTCTCTCCCTCCTTCTCACTGTGGTGTTCTCCTCTTCCTCCACCTCATCTTTCAACTCCCTCTCTCACAGACAATTTCTCCCTGCCTCCTTTTTTTTTTTTTATTAACTTCCTCCTCCTCCTCCTCTCACCACCCCCATCTCCAACCTCCCTTCTCACTCCTCCCCCCCCCACCCTCCTGTCTTTTGACTGGGTCTCTCTAAGGGCGGATGCGTCTCTGTGGCCCTCTCCAGATCTGGGAAGGACATCCTCTCAGTTTAATTCAAGTCAACCGCGGTCTCCCGGTGCTCCAAGACGCAGCATGTGTGACAGCTCCACAGAGACAGCCAGAAGGAGCTGCATACGTGTGTGTGTGTGTGTGTGTGGGACACAAAGAGTGAGATGGGGGGTAGTGTGTGTGTGGGGGGGGTGGGGTTGCATGTTCTAGCCGGGCATCTTTCAACAGTTCCCCGCTGACTCGAAGAGTTCATTTCACTCTGGCAGCGATCATAGCTGTCTATATATCTATGACGAGAGGCCGCTATCTTGATTACTCAGTGATAATCCGCCCCCACCCCCCAATCAGGGAGGTTATTATTACAAAACATATACGATGTGCTCTGTGCCTGATGGAGAGATAAAACTATGACCATGAACACGTTATGAGGTGGTGCCTGTTATCACATGTTGGAGCCACACATGGCAGCTGCCTCTTAAGAATATTAATGTCATGGAACATGGTTGAATTTTTCTATATATAGGCCTACATACAATGCAGTAAAATAAAGCTCAATAACCCAACAAAATGCAACAACAGAATCACTATTTCCCTGCCGCAGTCCCAACGTAAATAGGTTAGCTTTACTAAAAGAACGTAAAATGTAGGATTCATTGCAGTTCTATGTGTATCATACTGTATTATTTATTGCAAATGGCATTAATTAGTTAATGCTGATGACTCTCAAAGATAATCCTAGCAGGCTGATGCTACACAGGTATAACATTCACCGTGTTAATTATTCTTGTTTAGCGAGTTAGCATGCTAACATTTGCTAATAGCACTTGCCACACAGCACAGCTGAGGCTGAGGGATTTAACTAGTGATATTATTCAGTGATAAATCAAAGGCACAATACATGATGACGGTATTAGATCACCAATAAGAGTAGGGCACATCCTCTGGGAACCATGAATGTCTGTAAAAGGTTTTCTGCCAATCCAGCATTTTGATGTTGAGATATTTCAAGGGTTAAGTCATTTGAAACTACTGGAAGTGCCAGAAGAAAAGTCACATGGACTAATACTATATGATAAATGTCAACCTGGTGAGAGTGTTAGTGGAAAAGGTCTCAGATGGAAGACAGGAGGATTCGTTCTAGGGTGACCATGAACGCCTGTAAAGAATACGCTGCATATTGCACACAGGCACAGCCTGATCATAATGACCATTTCATTGTTATTCTTGTGTATTATCTGTGAGAAAATGGTGCAACGTACAAAAGTTTAATAATTGATAAAGTGTGGAACGTTGCTATCGAACGGCGGTGCGATCCGAGGGCGCCGCGCTTTACGCGAGACGTCTCCTCTATAGAGTTCACCGTTTGGAATCATCTTCGTCAAATCGAAATCACCATATTTTCTTCTCGTTGCTCGAGAGGAGACATAACAGAGCCTACAAGCGATTTAACAGCCAGGCCTGTCTTACACAAACACACACACCCACCCACCCACACACACACACACACACACACACACACACACACACACCTTACTATCTCATCACTCGCTGCCTCCACACCTTAAGATTATTTCCTCGTATTTGTCATCGGCAGCGATGGATGTTGAGCTCTCACACCTCCCTGCCTTCCTCTCGTCTCCCAATCTTCTCCCCTACGCTCCTGAGCGCCGCGCACACATACATCAACCTGCAATAATATAAGAAGCCAGGGGCTTTGTACTTAGCAGAAGTAAGTGGATCTGTCACATCATTTGGCCTCTGTCTTCCACCTAATTTCTCTGCTGGATTTTCTCGTGAAAATCTACTGGAGCAACGGCGAGACGGAAAGTTTGGAAGACGTCCTTGGCGGAGTGGGACAGAGATTGAGATACGGGTGGGTGTGTTACCTGCGTCCCCCCCTTTTAACTTTAACCACATCCTTTGATGCTGACAGGGTTTCTCACTCTAGCTGACACGTAGGAAAACATAAGAAATATACCAACAAATCAAGCGTTGGTGACATTGAAACAGAACAAAGCCAGACCGTCTGGGTCCAGATATATTTTAAAAGCATCACTGGATATATACACACACTCCTCCTAACAAAGGAATCCAATTTTTGCAACGATCCTTGGATGGAATGCTGATGAATGAACTCCCCTTGGTGCTGTACTGGGAAAAGCCAGTTGGACGGGAATGTGCGGCCCAACAACAACGACAGCATTAGGTTACTCACAAGCGGTCCTCCGCCCGTCTGCAGCGAGCGCAGGCCCCTCCTCCGCTGTTTTCCTTCCCTCCTTGTGTCTTCGGGTACTGTCGCAGCCCTTTGTCCTCGAGCCCGCCTTAATTGGAGCCCCCACCCCTCCCCCCCTGGAGAGCGGAGATGCGCGCAGTCGGCGGTGGTCCGAGGCGGAGGGGGTGAGTGGGGTGGGTGGGGGGGGGCTTGGGGAGGAGCCGCGACCTCCGAAACTCTCACGACAGTTTCACGTCCTCCCTCAAGGCCGGGCCGCTGGAGAAACAAGAGCACGAGAGAGAGAGAGAGATGGGAGTAAGAATGGGCTTCCTCTTCCCAATACAATGAGGGGCATTGAAGAAAGGGAATGAGCGGCATGGCGGCGGGGAGGAGACGCTGCCACGCTTTGACAGCGACCGGCTCGTTCCCGGTGCCTCGGCGACGGCTGTCAAGGGGAGTGAAGCTGTGTGGGTTCCTCCCAGGACGCCGGGGAGGTTGAGTTAATAGCAGCCTCGGCGGACAGAAAAGTGGATGAGGTTCTGGGTTTTGGCTCCTTGAGGTGTGCCGACTACACCCTCGGTATCTCACATTTGCGTGTTACAGATGTACTGTATATGTGGATATTTTAAATAATGGGTTTTTTTACCCGCACCCTGGGAGACAATGAGAGAACGGAAAATAAAAAACTTGACAGGAAGGCCAGCTGCTCTTCAATAGACACATATGAAAATGTATTCCGCCTGCCAGCTATTAATAGCCTCCTTCCTCTTACACGTGCCCTGTGGGGAGTGTCATCTCAAAATGGCCATTTGGAAGAAATAAGAGAAAAGCCAGATGCACTTCTCACTCACTCCACCACAATTCTTCTCCCCCCAGCTGCCGCTCTACATTATTGATGAGACTTCCTCCGTCCTCCTCGTCTACCGCGGTTTCGGTCGCGTTCGCCTGTGGGCAGACGCTGCGGCTGCAGAGGGCGAACCGGCTGATGCCACACGAGGACGAAACGGGACGAGGATCGGCCGCATCGTCTGACAAGACGCGGTGCAGAGGACAAGACGCGGTGCAGAGGACAAGACGCGGTGCAGAGGACCAGACGCGGTGCGTGATAGTGTCTGAAGCACTGGAAATGAATGAGTCCTCATAACACACAAGTGAACACCTTCACTTAAATGCAATGCACATTGGCGTGATTTTTTTTTTTTAATCTTATTTTATTTCACTTTATCTTATTTGATTCTATTTTCTTCTTACATTGCACCAAGTCAACTTCCTCTATGTGTAACATATGTGGCAATAAATGGCTTCTGATTCTGATTAGTATTTCGCTGATGTTGCCAGAAATGTTGAAATGTTGCTCATCTTAAACTATCCAAACTGTGAAACAGTGTATGAACTGGGCTCCGGTGTGCTTTGGGTATAATTCCGCACACATACCATCAGACACAGAGATTTACACCCCCCTTTCACACCATGTGTGTTTTGACGTGATGGAGATTGAAAGACCGGTTGAACCCTCCTCCTCCCTGACCTCCTCCTCCTCCTCCTCCCTCACTACACGCATCACCCCTCATGTCAGGTTAAATAAAATGAAAGAAAATATCCGAAAATCAACATAAAGTAGAATCAATAGTCAAATAGTGTGAAATGTAACACACACAAGACAACACAATATGTAGCACTGACTTTCTAAAAAGTCAAAGGACACCTCGTTCCCCACAAGGTCATTTCAGCACAGAGTGATGGAAAAAGTTCAAAAAGCAATAATTGTGAGCTTAGAATGTAGAGCAACCACAGAAGGCCGAGCAGCTCAAGCTGTGCCCCTTGCTCATAGGGGGTTAATAGCTCAAGGAAAAAAAACAGGCACCAGCCCAAAATGTGTCTTTTGTGCCACGCGTAGCTATGGTTACCGAGCTGAATATAAATCGGCTGCTGATAGGAGGTGTGATACGGATCGGGGCGACGGATGCTGATAGTTTTCAAGATAGGCCTTTTGAATGAGGATGGATATTGCGCCATTTAAATGTTGAAATCCAGACTGATGCATTCGCGGAAAAAATAAAACCTCCACACCTGCCTATCTGCCTCAGGCGGTTTTGTATAATAACATCAGTATTCATGAGCCACAACTGGGAGTGGCCCCCTCTATTCACGAGAGGGGGGGTGAAAGCAGAAATCTCGATCCACAAACTTAATTTAGACCCTAGAAGGGCAGATTTGTTCTGCTTAAATAAACATCAAAAACAATTAACTGACTTAAGTCTCTCCCAACCAGTGTTCCCTTGAGTGGCAGCCGGCGGACCAAATTCACTTCCTCTCTTCCAGGCGGACTCACACCGCGGCCCGACCGCGCGAGTCCACCATCACTCAGCGCATCCGGCGGTGACGGGTGGAGGAGTGGATGGAGGGCGGCGGCGGCGGCGGGGGAGAGCAGACGGGGTGGTGTCGGTATTGATTGACTTCAAACCTGCTAATGCAACAAATCAGGATAGAGACGGGCCGATGTCCCGAAAGTCGAAAAGCAATCTATGCCTCTGCATGCAGAGGTTGTCTTGCGGTGTGAAATTACAAAAAAGGAATCCAAACAAAAAGTGTGAAAACGTGACACTCTTGGGATTTATATTTCTATATGTACCGAGAGTTGCACGGTTTTTGATATATGTTCTAATGTAACTCAGGGTGGAAGCTGCGAGAGCCCCGCAGGGACAATTCTTTCTAATTGCGCTTCCACCCGACGGACCCACCGGGGGACGTGTGCAGGCCATCCGAATAAAACACAGGCGCACACTGTTAAGGTATATGGATCAGCATCAATATACAGCTCAGTGCACACGCAGGCTTTCCTGAGGCAAGGAAAGGCAACCACAGCACTACAGGGAGGGATAACTCAGTAGAGTTTCAGCTCTGTGTGTGTGTCTTTGCATCCTTGCAGGTTCAGACCTTTGCCGCTTTGCACTGTGAAAATTCTCCAGACATAATAATGGCACCGCTGATAGTAATCTTCTCCTTTTACAGTATGAGCGATAGCGAGTGCAAAGTGCCCTGATGACAAAAGAAAACAAAGCCTTTCCTCTTCCGCTGAATCTCTGATGGTGCGTCGGATAATGCCAGAGATTAAAAAAAAAAAAAAAGAAAGATATTCTGAAGACATCTGTCATTTAGAGGTAAATTGCCAGGTTTGCCATGGAAGAGAATTCCTCTTGCGTTTGAGGCTTTATGATTAATTCAGGCCTGTCAGTTGGGGAGTAAATGCTTCTTCATTCTCGCCTAAGTGGTCAATATGAATAATGCACGCCGCGGGTCCAAGTCCTGCCAAAAGTTCGACCTGGAAGGTTTCACCAGATGGGCCACGCCACACTCGTTCACCACATTCTCCGTCTCTCTCTCTCTCTCTCTTTCCGGCGCTCTGACGCCGATCCTCATCGAAAGATGGCGGCCCATCAGCAGTAATCGGAGGAGCTGTGGCGGTCGGGTTTCACCAGCTAGCAGGCGGCGGTTCGATCGATCCCACGGATGGTGGAGGTGGGCAGCCAGGTTGATAGCCCTGCCCGTCCCCCCCCCCCCCCCAGCTCACCGGAGGCCAAGCCGCAGGGCCCTGAATGTCATTTTACAAGAACAAATATCAAGCGGTCAGGTCGCCCTCGAGTCCCGAGAACTCCCGGCCGCGCAGTTAAATTCATGATAAGCCGTTGAGTCGGTTATCGGCGGGGTAGAAAGCTCGTTCCGTCTAATGTCGGCCTGTCACCGCGCTCACATTAAAGAATAAAGGGAACGTCAGAGGCCTAATGGCGACGACGCGGCGTAATTATCTCCAAGGTGAATTATTTGAGCGATTTCCCAGCGATAATCTGCCAACGCCCCGGCACATTCTTAAGGGGTACACAGCGTAATCGCGCACTGAGTGCGGTGACACGGTGGAATTGAAAGCCGGAGCGGCGGATGATGGATGCGGACGGAGACTTCCCACCAGCAGGGTCATTTGCATGCGCAGGCCGGGGGACGTCTTCTCATCAAGGGGGGGCTTCGGAGCGTCCTCATTGTTTTCGTCCGCTTCTCTCAAGACCCGGACTGTGCCGGGCTCGGCTCGACCGGTGGTTGCCATGGCGACGCACGGCAGCCAGGGCCCGGCGGCGGTGTGAGGGAAAGCTAAAGCACAGGTTAATCCGGGAGAACCGTTTGTTTGCCTCGCAGTGGTTTTTTCTGCTCACCACAATCGGACGCCACGTTACCTTTTTGTTTTTAAGGGAGACCGGCTGGCAAGTACAACAATCGCAAAAGACAAAAAGACCAGTCGCTGTGGCTTCATCCGCTCTGCCGATGAGGACATGCACCGAATCAAATTGACTCCATTGTGTCCTACATATTTCTGTTTCACAGCCTTAAATCTTCCTCCCCACAAAGTCCGCTGTGGATTCAGACGCTAAATCAGCCGGTCCAAAGAGGGTTGTTCCACTGATGATACACATGAATGCACACAATATAATAGCACATTTCTCCAGTGGCTACCAACGTCTTTGACAATATTAGTTCTTTTCTTGCAGGGCCTCAGCCCCCGTGATCAGTCATATTGAAGCGGCAATCAATCACGTGGGGCCGACTGAGTCAAAATGCCTCCATGTTGCGCCTCAGAGCCAGAGCTATGAAGCCTGCCCAGCTGTCTACACCACCACACCGCCTTTCAACGCAAAAATATACTCTCTAAGATAACTGGCTGCTTCCTTTTTATAATACGGACTTAGATATTCAATCGCTTTGTTTAAATTTGGCAAATATCTTTGAGCAGCCTGGTTTCAGTGCTACCCGCTGATCCCCCTCGGGGAAAACCTCTGACAGAGACGGAGACAAGAGAAGGTTGTGGCTTTACAGGCAATCACCTATAGTATTACCCCGCTTCGCCCTGCCACACACACACACACACACACACACATATATATAAATACACACACACACACACAGCACCACCCACACCATTTCGGGGTTACACTGATCCCTGTGAAGAATTCCCAGCCTCAGCCGGAGCTGCAGAGCTGCACAGGAATATCATCAGCGGCCTGAAGGTGCTGCTTGGTGAAGCAGCCACAATCTCAGCTGGTCTCCGGGGTATAAATAGATAACGGCTCCGTGTTGCGTCCGGCTGAAACGCAACACTACTCTGAAATACGCGTTCCAGTACGAACAGCGCAACAACAGGGCAAGTCCTTTATTTCTGTTTTGTTTTTAAAAGTAAGGTCTGCTGCTTTTAACAACAGGAGACCATCAGCACCTTCTCACTGAACCTG